CAGGATCCCTCACTCCTGCATGGAGCTGTGCCTGCCCCGTGCTGCTTGCAGGGCTGCCCCATGTGCTGGGGGCATCCGGAGCATCCTTCCCCACCACCAAAGCACCTGTGGTACCTCGGGGGGTTTGCATGTAATGCCTGGACATCATCATTCAATTTCTGACTGTGCAGCATCTGGGTATTTGGCTCTGACCTTGTTCTTTGTGCATGGCTCTGCCTGTGGCTTTGGTAGCTGGTGGAATGTGAGGTTGAACTTCGTGGCTGTCGGTACTGAAGGGGGGACCAGTGTTGTACTTAGGTCTTTGATGGGTGGAAAATGCTCTTGGAAGGATATCAAGGATGCTCAGGGCTCTTGCTGATACAGTGAGAGATTGGTTCTGTGAACAGAGGGGAGACTGAGATGAACTCCTAGGCAGAAGCTCTTCCCTGTGAGGGTGCTGAGGTGCTGGCACAGGGTGCCCAGAGAAGCTGTGGCTGCCCCATCCCTGGCAGTGTTCAAGGCCAGGGTGGACACAGGGGCTTGGAGCAAGCTGCCCTAGTGGAAGGGGTCCCTGCCAGTGGCAGGGGTTGGAACTGGATGAGCATTAAGATCCCTTCAGCACAAAGCAGGCTGTGATCCCACGACAGAGAAGTGTCACAGGAAACCCAATGCTCTTTCCTGGAGAGCCCCCCTGGTAGCTAAGAGAAAGAGCTTGCCATTTAGGGTAGACAGCATCTATTCCCTGCTCCTCCACTGGTTTGCACTCATTTTGCCAGTGACATAAGGAGGATGGGAATAAATAGCTCCAGCTCGACGGTTCTGGATGCCTTCTCCGCTCAGAAACAGCTCTGGCCTGCCGGGCTCCCTGCTGCTAGCCAGCCCGTTCCCGAACCGCTCAGCGAGCACACATATGCATCATCTCTAATAAATACCCAACCAAGGCTGGCGTAGCTGCAATTTGTTAGGGAACAAAGCAGGTCAGGAGAGGAGGAGGGAGAGAGGAGTTTGGAGCTAATTGGGAAGGCACCAAAGAGGATACAAATGTACATTGCAGCATCACACAGAATAACGTTAATGTTTTAATCAGGTTCATCAATCGCGGGGCAGCCTCAGGAGCCGGTAAAGCCACAGCCGCGGTGTCGAGCCCTAATTGAAAACACGGGCTCAAAGAGGAGACCACGCGCTGGCAGCCAGGCTCCTTGTGAAGCTCTGTCTCTCTGCCGAGGCTGGAGCAGCTGGAATGCTGCGCCCGCAGCCGGCACAGGAGCCTGGGGTATGGGTCGGTGTCTGCAGGGCTAAATGGAGGAGAAAGGGATCGGGATTTCAGCAGGAAGGTGGTGTCGTCTCGCTGCCTGGACCCATTGTCCTGTGGGGATGGTGTCACAGTGTTCAGTGTTCCCCTTCCTCCTGCAAGGAGATAAGGTGTGTGCAGGGGAGGGAGTTCCTATGGAGTTTCAGGAGTAAATCCTGCAAATGAGAGAGCCATAGGGGCTGCAGCACACTGAGCACTGCGCTCTCTTCACACAAACATCCCCCAGTGTTAGCCCATGATCAGACCAGCCCAAACCCCAATTTTACTTCATGCGGAGTGATTCAAAGCCCATTTCTGGGGCTGGTTCCTCTGGCTCTGTGCAGCCAAGCAACGCTTTAACTCATCAGAGTGGCCTCCAAGCAGGGACTTTGAGATCGACCCAGCCATTGATCTGTGCCACAGGAGCCCACATCGGTTTTCTCCCCTGTCGAAGCCAGTATTTAACACTGATGGTGTCTCATTAAGCTCACACCAATTGTGTTAGCATCTTTATGTTTGGCAGCTGGGGCGAACGTGATGCCCTCGGCCACCTCCTGTTCTGTGTAAGAATGTGCTGGGTCTGGCTGGGATGGAGTGAACTGGCTTTGTAGCAGCCCCTGTGGAGCTGTGCTTTGGATCTGTGGCTAAACCAGTGTTGGTAACACCCCAGTGTGTTGGCTACTGCTGCTGAGCAGTGCTTGCACAGTGTTCAGGCTTCCTCTGTGTCCCCACAGGGAATAGGATGTGATGGGCAAGATGCTGGGAGAGGACAGAGCCAGGGCTGCTGACCCAAACTGGGCTATTCCACATCCCATAATGCCATGCTCATTGAGGAAACTGGAGGTAGAGGCTGGGACTCACCCCAGCACAGAGACTCATGAAGTGTATGGGAGGAAAGAGCAAACCCTCCATCTGGAAACCCTCCTGCCAGGGACCATTTCATTTGCTGATAAGGGTTTATCAGAGACCTGCTTTCTCTTTGGCCCCTTGGTCCAGCTGGATGAGGAAGAAGAGGAAAGCTTGGTTAGGGAAAGGGAATTACTGCTCCGAGAGCACAATCTGACAGCCCCAGTGGGATCTCTCCATGAGCTGTTCTAGCTTGCTCATTCCTATTGGAGAAGCCCAGCCTGGGAGCAGGGAGGGATGCTGATGGGCTGGGGATGTTCTATGCATGGGTGGAGGAGATTCGGAGGGTTTCATCACCCCGTTAAGCTGTTCAGGTCTGCAGTGAGTGAAATGTTTTCCTTGCATTTCCTATGATTTCTAGATGGAGTTTCTTTGGCTGAGCTTACCTGGGCAAGTTGGGTGCTCAGCAAGCTGAACTTTGAAAGTGGCTGCTGCAGACGTGAATGATGCTCCCTCTCAGTAACAGAGCATTGAGCAAAACAGTCCACGGAGAGACTGTGGTCTGCCCACCCACCTCCCCAGTACTTCTTTCTTGTCTCTTGGACCATAGGTTGTTGACTGCATTTCCCTTTCAGAGGTTAAAGTTTTCATGCTTTCTTGTGGACTCAGCAATTCAGACAAAAGATCTTCATAAAATAGGAGCCATATTAAGGATACAGCCTTGAGCTCTGCTAAAATAGCTGCCTATATTCTTCTGAGCAGGGTCTGTGGATCCCTCCTGTCCTCTCAAGGTCTCATTCCTCTCCCTTCAGGTCTGATACTGACATAACACACTTAAAATTGAACTGGTCCATGGGGGGAACCTGTAGTTTTCGCAATCAGGTGCATTAAGAAAGCTGTAAGGCAAGCTTTGCATCTATTAAAGGAATGTCATGGTTTAAGCCCAGGTGCAACTAAGTACCACACTCATCCCCCTAAACCATCCCCTTTGGAATGGGGCGGGGGGGAAATTGGGAAAAGGTAAAACCTGTGGGTTGAGATAAGAGCAGTTTAATAATTGAAATAAAGTTAATAATAACAGAACAGGGAAAAGAGAGAGAGGACTAAAACCCGAGACAGACAAGTGATGCACAATGCAATTGCTCCCCACCTGCTGACTGAGACCCAGCCCATCCTGAGCAACAACGATGTCCCGGCCAACTCCCCCCAGTTTCTATCCCGAGCACAATGTTCTGGGGTATGGAACATCCCTCTGGCTAGTCTGGATGAAGTGTCCTGTCACTGCTTCCTCAGCTTCTCATGCCTATCCTCACTGGCAGGGCACGAGAGACTGAGGAGTCCTTGATTAGAGTCAGTGCTACTGAGCAATAACTAAACATTGGTGTGTTATCAGCATTACTCTCAGACTAAAGCCAAAACACAGCACTGCACCAGCTACTAGAGAGAGACTTAACTCTATCCCAGCCAAAACCAAGACAAGGAAATAGTGGCTTTCCCTTATACCTTCTTGCTCAGAAGCAAAGCGCATAGAATTTCCCTGTCCTTGAGATCCTATAACCACTCTATTGCCTTTGTTAACAATCTTGCTTGCAGTTTATGTCATTCTATGTATTTCAAACCCTCAAATTCTGACATTTTGTTCGAAGGAGGAAAAAGCAATCTCGTGGTTGCCGCAAAATTTAGTTTCGTCTAAAATATGTCTGTTCAATGACCTCATGCACTGCCTATTGTAATCCAGAATTGCCAGGCAAGTCGAGCAATTAGTTGTGCAGAATGAAATAACTTTAAATCCTTGCACTGAGTAATGACCCAGAAAAATCACTTCAGCTATACAATAGAAAAGACTCAAAACATCTGGCTTTAGTTCTACTTCCATAGCTCTGCCCCCTTTGATTAAGAACCAGGCTCTCCCCTCATCCCTTCAGAGACCTGGGCTGTTGATTGCTGCCCAGAACGAATGTTCGCAGCGTAGTTGCTGCTACCCTAAGAAATGATAACTGCTCATATACCAGCACCTGCATGGCAGTTGTTGTGCACGCATCGTGTGCTTTGATAAACCAGCAACTGGTGTCTGCTTAAAGAGCTGCTTCGTAACATCTGAGATGAGCCCCAGCGCTAAAATCCTTCACCCAGCACAGCAAACCCAGCTGGATGATGGGACCAGGGGAGAACCTGCACATGCTGCTGACGGACCATTTGAATGCTGAGTAGCAAATTGCTTAGTTCTCCTTCGGCTTCACCTACACACACTGCTTCTGCTAGGGTTTACTTGCAGCATTTATCAGAAGCAGCCAGAATAATAGGTAAATCCTCCCAGCAGCCCTCCTACATGTAGATGTGGCACTTGGGGACATGGTTTAGTGGTGGAGTTGGCAGTGCTGGGCTCATGGCTGGATTCAATGATTTTAAATGTCTTTTTCAACCTAAATGATTCTACCAGCCCCAGCAAATGTGTCACCTCTGCAGCAGGGCAGAGCTGAGGCAGAAAGCTGCTTGATGGTCAGGATGATGAGGGGGTTGGATGAGGAAGCTTTCAGCCAGGCCTCCACATCCTGTTATGGAGCATTTAGTGCCAGTGAATTTGAACCAGCCCTTTAAAACATCAGGTATCACCTGCAGTGAAAAGATACTGCCCTTGTGGGAGTATCAGCATGAATTAAGGTGGAAACTCCAGTATTTGTTTATGAGGTGGGTAGGGAAGCATCAGATAAAGTTATGTGAGACCTGCCAAGGAGATCAGATTTATCTTCCTAACCCGATGGCATAAAAGGAGTCTCGTAGCCATTGTGTTCCCAAGTTGAATTCCCAGTGGCTGTAAAACCCAATCTGCCACCAAAGGGAGGAGATAAAGTGTTTTTAATAAGAAAACGAGCCATTTGCAATGCGCTTTTAATTGGATCAATTTCTCCTTTATTACACAATCTTTAAAGCCCAAATACATACGTACGACCAGACAAGCTCTTTCTCCAGGTAGAAAGCAGAAGCCAAACTATTTCATCACGCTCCTTAATGATTCCAGTTCATGTTGCTTGGCAAATGATCACAACACTGGAGGGGAGGGAACCAGGGTGAGAAATACAGCTCTGCAAAACCCCCTCACGGTCACTGTTGTGTTCTAGCAGGGGATGTGTGTACCCTGCGGGAGGAACAACAGGTTTTCAGGTCCTCCTTTTACCTCTTTTCCGCCTGAAAGCCAAGAGCAGACAAAGAGCTGCAGGCGACACATAGCACCCCGAGGTGCCAATCACAGTGTCCTGCCCCAGCAGTGCCTTGCAGGGTGGTGTGATTTCTCTTGGATCATCTGAGCGAGAAACAGATGACAGACGATGCTTTTGTTTGAACTGTATAACCAGGAACAGGCTGGAGGAACCAACTGCTCAGTTTACTGGACCAGCTTTTCTGTCCCTTCAAGCACTCCAGGAGCTGTTATTGCTGGTACTGTGATGTTTATTGCAAAAAAAAAAGCTTAAATAGATCCATGCGGACAGAAAATGACAGAGGTACATATTAGCATAGATAATATTGCTTCAATTATTCAGGTCCATTGTAGCTTCCTGCTTGGAGCAGTTCTTGGAAACAGGAGAAATGTTGAAAAGAGATCAGTAGGAGAGGAACTGCTATTGCTGTAACACTGGAAAAAACGCCTTGAGTTACAACGTAATTAACTGCAGAAAGGCCTGGTAATAGTTGTCATGTCCCCAAAACATACATGCAAGGTGAGATCAGCTCCCCATATTGCTGTAACATACCTCAGGCAACTGCCCCTCCCACCCCAAAAAGAGAAGCAGAGAATGTGAATACTGATGTGCAAGTTGGCAGCTTCAGCAAATGCAGGAGCAGTGCAGGAAAAAGGGGAGGTTATCATAGAATTATAGAATCCCAGCCTGGTTTGTATTGGAAGAGATCTTAAAGCTCATCCCGCTCCAGCCCCCTGCCACAGGCAGGGACACCTTCCACTAGAGCAGCTTGCTCCAAGCCCCTGTGTCCAACCTGGCCTTGAGCACTGCCAGGGATGGGGCAGCCACAGCTTCTCTGGGCACCCTGTGCCAGCGCCTCAGCACCCTCACAGGGAAGAGCTTCTGCCTAAGAGCTCATCTCAGTCTCCCCTATTTATGTTTAAACCCATTCCCCCTCGTCCTGCCCCTGTAGTGCATGAAGGGTTCAGTTCCCATGGGCTCCCTCAGCACCATCTCCCATGGGAGTGTCTTAGCTCCTGCTCCCTTCTCCACAACCTCTTTCCATCCTGTTATAGTAAGAGAAATAGGAAGATTCCCTGATGGAGGGGCACCCCCATCAGCTGGGTGTGTGCTGTGCTGGGCCTCTTCAGTGCTTTGGCTGAGCAGAACAGGGAGAGGAAAAGAAAACCCCACTAAAATCTGCTCCCACCACTTCTTCTACAAACCTTGTGAGTGCCAAACAACAGGCTGGAGCTTGCAGTGCCTCTGAAGCCGACTTAACTTTGCTGTTTCATTAGGGGAAAGTATATGGGAGCTTAAAAAGAATCACTTGTTGCATCCATGTTGTAGCACAAGTAGCAAACAATTTGCTGTAGCATGGCAGCCACCATAAAATCAGCTTTTAGATTGTCTGTCATGCCCCCGAATTTGCAACTACATTGTTGATAGCAGCAAATAAACACGCTGCAGTGTAACTATTATCTGTGGCAGATTAACATGCTACCACTGCGCCCTATTTAAATGCATCTTTCCTTCAATAAGCTATTCTGGGCAAGCAGCACCACACTGAGGTACACATTTATCAGCCAGGAGAGTAGCACTGTGGGGGCTTTGGTTCACACAGCTGCAGTTTTGTGCTTCATTTGGCCCAAAGCCGTGATGAACATGAACTCTGGAGCCTGCTGGTGCTGTAACAAAATGTATGTGAGGAATGTAGTGTTTTGCTGTGCAAGGAGGAGAAAAAAAAGCAGTACATCAATGGATGTGGTTCCAAGTATTAAAGAAAGAAAACAGCCCCCCCTCCCCTCCTCATCTTGGCAGTGAGCAGCTTGCAGGTATAAAGTGCAGATGAAGTGGAAGCCTATTGCTAAATGGAAGAGTCTGGAATGCAGAATAATGAAGTGCAGGTGAATGTACAGGATGTTCCATTGAATCTCATTTACTACAGACGTATTTCCCCAGCCCTTTCCCACCACCTCCCAGTAAAGCTTTAGATACCAGACATACCTTCCAAAGCCAGTTTCCAGGATACATTTAACAAGAAAACAGTAAATATCAACCATAGGTTCCCTCCCCCCTTATATTTTTTCCTCCAGCCCCCTCCCCTTTTATCCCCTTCTACCTAACAGAACTCTCAGTAGTAATAAAAACCCTGCTGCCACCAGAGAGGGCAGTTCTGTGGCTCAGCTCAGCCTCCCACAGTTGCCCACTACTCACTTGATGTTGAACAGACACGGTTCACCAACGGCACCACAGGGGTGATCTCCTGAATACCCAAAAAACAGAGAGAGAAACCCCTCCCTTGTCAGTCTGAAAGCACAGCTCCATCTCCACGCAGTTTAAGAGGGCTATTTCAGTTGATGCAGCGCTGCAATCAGAAACTGCTTTCCCAGGTAGTTGCCCAGACAACTGTTACCCAGTTCCTTGTGAGTTCCACAGCAAGGACTGCCTCTCTGGTTCTCTAAGGGAAGACGATTTAGAGCAGTCAGTGTTTATGGCACAAAGATACAACGGCTGAAGCTGGTAGTGCAGGTGATGTGGCGTAAGGAGGTGAGAAGGTTTATGGAGTGACCAGTCATTTAACAAGGAACCAATACTCCAGGATGGATCCTTTCCCTTGGCACTTGTTTTTTATTGTATGGATTTTATATATAAAACAGAAGAAGAAGAAGCAGACCACCACCACATAGGCTATTTTGTTTCTAAACACAAAACACAGCGGCCTCTACGTTGACCCCCCCTTTGGTTATGGCACCGTCTTCCTGAATGCTTGACACTGGCTCCTGCCAGATTGCAATGAGGCTGGAAGAATCTCTGCTTAGAGACATGCTTTAAGGGGTGGAATATCTTCTCAGGTGGTAACTGTAGATCTTAATGCAATGATCCCAACAGTCCAGCACCAGCAACTGCCCTTTGGGAGTAATGGCAATACCAACTGGGCAGATGAGTCCTTCCCGGATTAAGATGTTATAGCCCCCTCCTTTAGGAAAATGCAGGATTTCTTTACGGCTGCTGTCAGCAACAATGAGGTCTCCCCTGGCATCTACGCACATCCCAGCAATGCACCTGAAATCCTCATTCTCAGAGAAGAAGTGGCTAATCTGGCGCCCCAGCTGCCCATCTGGGCCAACAGAGCCAATTGAAAAGCCTCCTTCTAAATGGTGCTCGTACTGCCGGTTCTCCAGGTTAAGCCCTAGCCCTTGGGTAAAGTATATGGTCCCTTCAGCATCGCAGGTGACAAACTTGGGGCGCACTGCACTACATAAGCAGCTGTACTTCACTACCCCCACGCCACGGTCCACTGTGAAACACCAGAGTTTGCCTCCTTCCACATCAGTCACTACAAACTGGCCCGAAGGAAGAGCAGCGATGCCCCAGGGCTTGCTTAGCTGGCTCCGGTGACACGCCACGCAATGGCCATCCATGGTGTAGACCTTGAAAGAGTTATCGTAGCTGTCGGTCACACCTATGAGGCCGTGGCAGTTCATGGTGACAGAAAGGGGTGTCAAATTGGGTAAGTCTGCTCCAAGGAAACTCAACACAAAGCTGTCGATTCCGCTGGGGCTCCGGCGGATCTCCTTTAGGAAGCCCTTGCGGGTAAAAACCTGGATTCGGAAGTTGCCTCTGTCTGCAACAAGCACTTCACCCTGCAGGGTGACATGTAGGCTCACAGGGAGGTTAAACATCCCTGGCAGGCTGCCCTTGGAGCCCATCTTCCTGATGAAGTGACACTGCTGGATGCTCGTGGCTGCTTCAGGCATCCTTGGCTTGGCTGGGGAGGAACTGGGTGTGCAGCTGGGCTCCTCTTGCACCAACTCGGGCTCCCTGAATGATGCTGATGAGGATGCTGCAGTTTCCATGAGGGATTCCTCCACGTTAACAGTGCGGGGCTTCTTCACCACCTGCCCGATCTGCAGTGGTCCCACATGGCTCACCTTCAGGAGTTCAACCTCTTGAAGAGTCAACTCCCTTGGAAGACTGTTTGTCAGTTCTGGTTCTTCCTCGTCTGCTGCCTCCTCTAAGAGGGCTATATCTCCCTGCTTGATTTTGGCAAGGAAATAGTCGCAGCGAGACATGATCTGCACTTCTGCTAAGTTCAGCAGATAAGCTTGCTCCTCCATGACCTGATTATTTACCTTCTCCACTTCTGACAAAGAGCTGGTGAAGAACTTGCGTGACCTGACCAGCTCCTCCTGGATCTTGCGCTCTTCTTTGCTGTAATCTTGCAGAACTGCTTTGTATCTAGACTGCAGGTCTCTTGAAACACCTTCCAGAGACGCTTTTCTTTTCTGCAGATCACCCATGAGCTCCCGAAGTCTGGCAAGCCTCGTCCCAAATTCCCTCCTACGCTCTTCAGCAGCCTCTTTGATAGCAACAACTCTATGTCCTTGAGGCATGTGTGATGACTCCTTGCAGGGCTCACATAAAACCAAGCTGCAGCTCTTGCAGAAGTGTCTTGGCAACCTTCTCCCACAGACCTTGCACATGAGAAGACCCACTGCTTCCCCCAGTCCAGCGGTGTCTATGATTTTCAGCACAGTCAGGTTGTCAGTCATCTGAGCTAAGCTTGTGATCCGTGTGATTTTGCTGCAGAAGGGGCACCGGATCCCATTAATGCTGTTTGCCAGGAGCTTCTCCAAGCACTGTTTGCAGATGGTGTGCCCGCAGTGTAAGAGCTTGGGTCTCAGGTGCTCCTCAGTGAAGGACTCCATGCAAATGGGGCACTCCAGGACCTCTCGGAGTGCATCCGAGTTGAGATGAGGGGCGACAGCCATGGCTCTCCAAGGCAGCTTTACCCAGCACAAAGTCTTCTTCTTGCATCTATTCCGAGGTGCTCCAATTCTGTCCAGAGAGAAAAAAAAAAAAAGGAAATGTGATTTATGTCATCAGTTACATATACATGCAATTTCTTTCTGATTTATCACCCAACCCTGGAAAAAAAGCAGCCCAGTTAGCATTGCCACCTTTGGAAAGGACGAATTAGTCATAGCTAACCTCAGAGTAGGCAAACTCCAACCCCAACTTGCAGCTCCTGGTGTGATGAACTATTCACTCGCAAAATTTCTTAAGTAGAACAGAAAGAAGCGTTAATGGCAGCAATAAGGAAGCCCAATAGATATTGATGACTGAATCATCTCCTCATGGTGCCCATCTCCTGCTGCCAAGCCTCTGAGTTTCCATAATTTACTGAAACCCAGGGAGATTAAACCAAGCATTCAGAATGCTGCGCATCCAAAGAGGAACCAGATGGTGCAACGCTTGAGGACATTAATTTATCACCTCTGGAGACCTGCATTCAGATGTGACATCGGGAACTAACAAAACAAATGTGGTTGCTTTACTCCTCATTTTTTTTCTAGATAGCCAAAATAAATCCTCAAGGCTTCGTAGAGTTGCCAGGAAGGGAAACTAGGAGGGATGATCTGTCAGCTTCCACTTGTTCTGGGAATGACTGTACATACTGAAAGCAAACAGTGAAGATTCGATGCCGGTGTTATTTCTTTAACCTCTGCCACCCAGCATCATGCTCCAGCATGCCAATTAAACACAGCTCCACACGGAATAGCAGGAATTAGCACTAATGGAGCTAACAGAGGACTCCAAGCATTTGTTAATACACACCCCAAGTGCTCTCTGTTAGTTCTTGAACTTAGCTTAACTGCATAGAACGTCTCCTGGTTTCAGACTCGCAGCATTGACCTCATTCTTGCCTTCTGGTTCAGTTTTCCAGCACTCTGGTTGCCATTCAGCTTCAGTCCAGGTTTCTCCACCCTCAGCTTCCTCCCAGCAGGGAGCAGATCCCGCTGAAGCAGCCGTTCAAAAGGAATAGAACAGGGGTCCCATCATTAAGTTGTTATTCAGTAGACTGAGTTTCAATAGCGTTGCTATTGCATGGCTTAGCTATTAAAAGCAACGGGGAAGGAAACGTTTCTTGTAGGGGAAGAGAAGGGGAGGGAAGGAGTTAGTCTTTAAACTGAAGAGCTGGTCACAGAGGGATGCAGACAGGCACCTTGTCCTGAACTGTGGCTGCATGCACGGAGCACTCTCACTTCCCCGCTGCTGGTTTGCCAGCTTCATCCTTGGGAGCATTTCCAACAGAAAAGTTCAGTTTCCCATTCGCTCAAGTGGGAGAAGGCAACTGCAATGAAGAGAAGTTCTTTATGTTCATGCTGAGAGTTACACAACTCCTTTTAGTCCTTTAAAGCCTGTGTTTCAGGAGGGGATTCAGCGGTGCAGCAGCTCTCATCCCACGCTGGGATCTGATCCCTGGCTCAATGAGCACAGGAGCAGGGAAACGCTTGGCACTTGCTGCTGCTGAATGCTCTTTCCTTTTCTTCTTGGCTCCTATCTCAGGCAGGGAAGCAGAAGCCTGGGCACTGTAGATCAGAAACCATCCTCTGAGGGATGGAGAAATCTGCATTTTAAAACTGCAACACAGGGTACCAGCTCCATTATTCTTATTTTCCTTGGAAATACGTTAGAAAACTTGCTTAGGGGAGGATGAGGGAGCAGCACAGATACCAGATACAGGGAATTACATAAAATACACGTGAAATACATCAAAAACTAGCTTTAAAACAACTGTTCTCATTCAGGAATCAATAACAGAGGGGGGTTTATTGAGTTTTAAGTTAGATTTGTAGGAAGACGATTTGTCCAAGATTCCTTCCATGCATTTCCTTGGCATGCCAGCACGCGCCTCAGCAACATTAGGTTAACTTTACTGCTGCACTTCCCTTTCTCTCGTGCTCCGATGGAAGTTTGTTTTCGTGTGCCCATCATTCCAGTGACGCCGAGCAGGGACTGGGGGAAGCCTCAGCCCTGGGTCAGGCTATAACCTCGGTGCATTACATGAGGCAGACTCAAAGCGATTTCCTGCTGTGGTTTCTCCTCTCCCTTTAGTTTTCACCTACCGAGGCGCCTGGAATTGACCGCTGGGGTCCCCCCACCCGTTCAACCGCTCGGGGACAGCAGCAGGATCGGGGGGGGGGGGGGGGGGGGGGCTCTGCCCCAGCGCCCGGGGCTCACCCCCCGCTTCAGCAGCGCGGGGCCGCGGCTCGTCCCGCTGCTGTCAGCGCAGCCTAACCGCACCCACAGCCCCACCGCGGCCTCCACAAGGGCTCGGCGGGGGCGGACCCACCCCGGGGCTCCCACCCCATGGAGCCGCGGCCCGGCCACGGGGCACCGCGGGAGGGGGGGCCCGGCCGCTGCCTCGTCCCGCCCCGCCTGCAGGGGGCGCCGCCGCGTCCCGCCCAGGGCGCTCCCTACCTGCCCGCAGCTGCCGGGACGCGCGCGCGGCTGGCCGGCGTGCCCCGCGCGTTGACGTAACGTGCGTGACGCGACGGGACGTAACGTGCGTGAGGGGGGGGGGGCGCCGCGGAGCACGACGGGAGATGGAGTCCTGGGTGGAGGTGGCGGAGCGGGGCCGGGAGGGAGGAGCAGGGGAGGCGGAGGGGACGCGGGGATAGGGGGGGTTGTTAACGGGATAGGGAGCTCGGTTGGGGCCGGAGTGGGGCTGCAGGGTGGTGATGGGCCTGGGTCTGCCGCCGCCGGGGGCTGGAGTTGAGGACCTGCCCGCATAGGGCGCTCCCGGCGCGGCCCCTCCTCCTGCTTGGGATGTGCAGGGGCGGTAAAAGCAGACAAAGAAAGGGAAGGGTTGGACTCGGTGAGTTTAAAGGTGTTTTCCCAACTGATTGATTCTAATTGATTATTTTCATCAGGGGCTGTAGCGATAGGGCAAGGGACGATGGGTTCAGGCTTAAATGGGAGACTGAGATGAGCTCTTAGGCAGAAGCTCTTCCCTGTGAGGGTGCTGAGGCGCTGGCACAGGGTGCCCAGAGAAGCTGTGGCTGCCCCATCCCTGGCAGTGTTCAAGGCCAGGTTGGACACAGGGGCTTGGAGCAAGCTGCTCTAGTGGAAGGGGTCCCTGCCCGTGGCAGGGTTGGAGCTGGAGGAGCTTTAAGGTCCCTTCCAGCCCAACCCAGGCTGGGATTCTGGGGTTCACTGTTCTTGGTTTATTCTGTGCCAGTTCCTGATAATCCAGTTCCTTCTCATCTTCTACCCTGCAGTGGGGACCTGAGCACTGTCATGTTTTCAACTGGCCTATTGAAAACTCATCACTTGGTTCATTCCCACTGTGTTGGAGCAGCCTGTGGGCTCCCAGGACAAAGAGGCCTATTTTGAGGTAGAGAATAGCAACTATAATCGATTGCATATAAATATTGTCAGTGACATAAATATGGGCATTGGCAGCTGTGGTTGCTTGTGTGAGGACCTGCTCAGAGCACGTCCTGGTTCCTACAATGACACCTTTCTTGCAGTGCTGGCCGGTGCTTGGTGTTGCTGCTGTGGCACAGGCAGGAAGCAATGGGGAAATGGAGTGGGTTTGGGTTTGCCCTCGATCAGAGGAGAGCTTGTGCTGCCCGCTCATTGCTTCCTCTGCTCACGCTGGGAGGCAGCAAAAGGTGATCTCTCCAGCAGTCATTGATCATAGAACCAGTCATTTCCCTCCTGCTTCTTCTGTCCTCCTCTTTGTCCCTCCAGCCTTGGTTTCTGACCCCTTGCCCATCAGACAGGCTCTGTGCTGCCTGGGGCTGGCAGCAATGGTCAGAGGCAGGGGTTTTAGCTCTGCCCTGGTGTTTCTTGGGGTCATGGTGGTGCAAAGGACACTGGTAACAGTGGGTCCTGTTCCCACTCAGCTTTCACTTGGCCATCACAAGACCGCTTCATGATGGCAGAACCCAGCTTTACTGTGACCTGGGGTGGAGGACCTGCACAGCACATCAGGAATGTCAGGGCTTGGGGCTTTCCCTGTGGGAGTAGGGAGATGCAAGGCTTGGACAGGCAGGTCCATGGGAGCCGTGTTCTGAACACCCCAGTGCTGCCAGCATCACTGCTGGTCCCAGTGGTACCCAGGCAGTAGCCAGAATTGAGTAGGAATTAGGGAATGGAATGGGATAGGATAAAATGAAATGGAATGGAATGGATTAGACTAGAATAGAATGGAATAATTCAGTTGGAAGGGACCTACCTCCAAGCAGGGATCAAGAGCAGCAGCAATCAGGAGCAGCAGGGATCAGCAACATGAGCAGTGGATGCACTCAAAGGCAGCAAGAGCAGAGACAAACCCTGACCAGGGCTGCAATGGGTGAAGTTTATGGTCTCCTATTTCATGTCATGCTCCTGACTCTGAGCAAGAAACCTCAGTGGGGTGCTCCAGCAGTGCCCTGGGGGTGTTGCAGTGTCCCAGAAGGGGACACGGGGTTCACTCCTAGTTCTTGGCATCTCCATGGGAATGCGCTTTCAGCTCCTGATGTATTTTCCATGGAATAAAAGTGGATATAAGCACAAAACTGGGGTGTTCTGGTGGATGTGTGAGGTCACCCACACTTGGAAGTGAACAGTGTGAGGAAAAAATAAGTATAGGAGTAAGGAAATAAGCTTTTAATGCATCTTGGGGTAGAAACAAAGGACCCTCGGGATTTAGTTGGGAGTGGTGACAATGAGCTGCTGATGCTACCCAGCATGTACAGTATGGGGACCCTGTGCCATGAGGAGGAAGGATGGGGAGGCTGGGACCCCAGTCACCCTGGCACGGGGTGGGGGGGGCAGAGCTGCCCCACACTGGTGGCCAGTCATCCAGCCAGCAGGGCTTGGGACATCTCAGCCATCCCATGGGAAATGAGCATGAGGAGGGTGCATTGGAGCAGACACGGAGCCAGCTGCTGGTACAGGGCTAACACAGCAGCCCATGGGGTCCAGAGCAGCAATTTGGTGATCCTGGGACCATCCTTGTGGGGCTATAGTGGCTCAGAGGCAGGGGGCACGAGCAGGGAGGTGCTGCCAAGGGTTGGATGAGCAGGGCAAGGCTTTGGTTGCTCTTCCAGGCAGTGAGGGCCGTGCAGGGCCTTTGATTCCTGTGATGAAGCAAGCACACTGGTGATGCCTGCACCGTCCCCCTTTGTAGGGGTTGATCAATGATCTCTAAAAGCTCTCCTGGCCTTTTCCTTTAGTACCACAGGCTTGCAAGTCTGTAAATGTCTCACCTGAAGCTGAGGTTACTGCAGAGCTTGCTTGTCTGACCTGTGGAGGAGATGGTCCTTGCTGGTACCTTCGGGATCACCCCAGGGCAGAGGGACTCCCATGGGCACACAGGGGTCCTGTGGGCCACTGAGCCACAAGCACCATGGCACAGCTCACCAGCCACTGCTTGTATTGGGTGTTGGGGCTGTGAGAGTGTGCAAGGTTCTGTGTTTTATTGCATTAGGTTAATCAGCAGGGAGAGGGGGGCAGAGGCAGGAAGGTGGTTGTGACTCTCCGGACATAAGAGGGGGAGAAAAGTGGTCACAGACCATCACATTCAGGAGATCATCACTTGTGGGCACTCAGGCTGTTCTGGATTTGTGTTGCCAGACTCATCATGCCGAGGCCGGAGCTCCATGCAGGATGAGGTCCCATCGGAGGGGCTGTGGAGTGCCAGCAGCAGAGCGAGCCGTGGTGCATCTCCAGCCCGAGAGCCATCCTCCCGCGGTGCCACGAGAGGGCAGCAGGTCCTCACGGACCGCAGCGGCCACAACTGCCCCGCAGCCATGCATGGCAGGTCCCATAGCACCCCAGTGTCACCCCTCCAGCCGCTCCGTGGGCTCAGCCGAGGTGTCCCATGGATACACATCTGCGGTTGCTTATGAGCATCAGCGTGCGCCCTTCTGGGGTGTGCACAGGCTGTGGTCGTGCCTTCACCCAGGCTTCCCGCATGGGTTGCTGTGCCGTGGGGTGGTGGCATTCCCTAAATGATGGGTGACAGTCCGTAGGTGAATCCTCCATGGGACATGGCATTGGTGGTTTGGCACAGCCAGCCTGAGCCGCTGTTGGTGTGGCGTTTCCTGGGCAGCAGCAAGGGGTGGCACTGTGCTGCTTGCACCCATGGGTGCATGTGTGATAATAGAGCACTGCTGGCTCCCCTAGGCATTACACCAACACCTCCTTTGCAGCCCCAAGCAGTGGTTTCCCATCACGGACAGTGGGCAGCATTAAATCTGTTCAGGCTCTTAGCGGCCCTGGGGGTTACAGCACTGACAATATCTTACTGCAAGAGAAATTCCCAGGCAAACACAAGGATTGATTTTCTTTCTAAGTCCTTTCCGATGGATTTGCCAACAAATGGGGTCTTTTTCCACCAGGTAATAAATGGGCAGCCTGTGCCAGTGGATGTGTGTTGGCTGTAAATCCCCACTGCCCTGCCTGCTGTGGCACTAGGGCAGAAGTGGACCAAAATTGCCTCTTCCATGTGTGGAGTGCAAAGCCCAGGTCCTAAATCAGGGCCAGATGAGCAGCCTATCGGTGCTGGTGGGGTTAACCTGCTGAGCCTGGAGGAGTCCCCACCTGGGTCTATTCCTGACATTCCCTCTGCAGCTTCAGCTGGAGAACCTTCTCCTCTCCTCGTTCCAAGCTTTTTCTCCTATTCAGGAGCTACCACATCCTACCCCTGATGTGGCTGCGTACTTGTTGTAAGTGGTGTGATTCCCAGTTTTGGAATGACTTGGGATCTTCTGGAGGAGGTGCTGTATTAGAATGCTGGACCACTGGCAAACCCATCATCTTCTGGGAGCTCTCAAGACAAACTCCAGTGCGAAGGATTAGGTATTGTGCTGTTGTTACCACAGTGGTGTTATGGTGCTTCCCTCTTGTCCAGGCACTAGGAGGTGCTACTGGAAGTATTTCCTCACATCTGCAACTGCTGCATCCCGAGCAGGGACCCCTGCACAGGCAATCACCTCATGCTGTGGGGTTATAAACCCTGATGGAGCCCAGAGCCAGG